GTGCATTACTATATTTTTCAATACCAATTACTTGTTAAAGTTTGTACAATCAGTGGGATCAGTTGCAATGCATATATGTGAATGATAAAAGTAAATTGCACATTTGTCGCAGGAAATGTAAGGTGCTTCATGAAATGTTTTGTAAAAGATATGTTCATTTAATTTCAACATTTTCCTAATGTTCTTGTGCTTCTTTATACCAAAACAAAGGAAAGACATGTTGTTTTGGTTATTTATAGCAAAGTATGGTATCATTTTAATGGTCCGGCCCACTTGACATCTACCCAGGCCGTATGTGGCCCACCATGTGAAATGAGTTTGACACCCCTGCTTTAAGCAAACCATCTTTGGAACAAATTGGAACAAATCAAATCAATGGGCAAGGCAACTTGATTGAAAAAAAGCAGAATTACAACATTTAATAGCATTTTAAAATAAAAGAACTGAAGACATTTAAAACAAAGTACAGAAATAAAAGCACACTAAAATTACGTAGACAGAAGAAGAACATTATTTTTTTTAAACTGCATTTAAGTTAAAACGTGCTTCATAGGAACCCAGTTATCGGCATGGGATACTAAGCATAGTTTTTAACTTAGACTTGAAAGCAGTCACACATGGGACTGACTTCATACTCCCAAAAAATAACTTTATAAAGTCTTGTGGTTTTCAACGATTTTTTTTCCGGGTAAAATGGCTAACATTGAAACATGTTTTGGAACCAAGTGGTCCATCAATGTCTTTGTGTCGGTGTAAAAAAAAAAAAAAAATCATCTCTCCCAGTGACAAGGCTTGCGATGGTGACATGCTCCACTTTGTCAACCTCATGATTCTGACAACTGCACAAAAAAGCAACATTGCAATTAATCAATCCTTTGCAAGCCGGAGGTGAGCACAGTTGAGTTCAGACATTGGGGGCAAAAACTAAAACTCTCTCTGTCCTTTCGGATACATGACTTGCACAACAGTAGGCCAAAGTACTCACGCTGTTGAGACTATGGATGGTGGTTCATAAACAAACAAAACAAAACTTCATTTCCTCTTTTCTTTTATTTACAGCAATTTTTGCATTGAATTAAAAATGTCACAAATCAAACGGATGTTGCAAGCGGTATGACAAGAAAAATAATTTTTTTTCTGGCAATCAAAATGCTTCGCATCGTGCCACATACATGCACACACAAACAACCTCCCTCTGTCCCCCCCCCCGCCCCCCACACACACACACATGTAATTTCTTGAAGATTTTGGTCACTATCTTAAGTCTTCGTTCAGTGAAGATTTATTCTTATAAAGAAGTGCCTAATTATATTTTAATGTGTGAACACTGTTATGAGAGAGGTCTTAAAAGAATAACTAATAACACTTTTCGATTCTAAAAAAACAACAAAATATGTTTGTGGAATTGAATTTTTTTTTTGTTTGTTTGTTTTGTGAGCCACTCACACTGCTCGTTTCTCAATAAATTATTTTACGATCAAAAGCTATTTCGAAATGTTAATTTTTCATTGGAAACACTGTTCAGATGTTCGAGTCACGGAAGTGAAAATATGAGCGCCAAGGTCTCTCCTCTTCTTGAAATGATTGGTTTCACAAAAAGCAAATTTTCTCCAATGTTTGTGAGAAGCGGATGAATTTTGCAAAATTTTGCTATGTTCTCCTGCTGATTACCAAAGAACAGAAAGGTAGAATTTTATTTATTGAATGTCTTTTATTTTCCACTGGTTAACTGGTTCATTGTTGATTTTATTTCGTTTGCTGTCCACTGTTTCACCCAAAACATTCTTTAAAAAATGGTGATATACTGCCAATATGCATTTTCCACATCAAATGGCGGATGGTCCCACAAAAAGTATTTTAAATTTGAAACGAATAATCTCTAAATAAAGGAGGAGCCGCGAAAATGCTGGACCTCCACTGCGTTCTACAGTGCAAACCTTTGTTAACAAATGGTTTGTGACGTGAAAAGCTTTTGCACGGCAAGGCTCCATGTGACCGTGGACTTTGAGGTGCATGTTTGGTGCTTGGCACCATGTACAGAAATTACAGCATAAAAAAAATACCAAATTGTATCTCAACCTCCTGGAAGTGACTTCCGGAAAAGTTGTCCTGATGTCTCGCCGCATGGACCATGGGCCTCAACAAAATGAGTGTGTCCAACCAGCCAACTGTCCCACCACGTTCACCTGATGGACTTTCTCTCGATGTACATTTACCATCCTTTTTCACTGTCTTTTAGGACATCATCAGCCACAATGAGCATTCTCAAGGTGTTCACTGTTGCCCTTGTGCTGTTCGGTAAGTCATCAAACTCTCAATTAGCAAGTAACAAAGAGTCAGTGAAAGGTCACCATGTAACAAAGATGTCAACTCTTTATCACAGGAACCAGCTGTCTTTCTGCAAAGATAAAGAGACAAGTGCCATCCAATGCAGCTTTTACCCCAGATGACAATAGTCCACCTGGATCACCGCCAGGAAGTCCACCTGGATCACCTCCAGGAAGTCCGCCAGGATCACCTCCAGGAAGTCCACCAGGATCACCTCCAGGAAGTCCACCTGGATCACCTCCAGGAAGTCCACCAGGATCACCTCCAGGAAGTCCACCCGGATCACCACCAGGAAGTCCACCTGGATCTCCACCTGGATCACCGCCAGGAAGTCCACCTGGATCACCTCCAGGAAGTCCACCAGGATCACCTCCAGGAAGTCCACCAGGATCACCTCCAGGAAGTCCACCTGGCCCACCTCCAGGAAGTCCACCTGGATCACCTCCAGGAAGTCCACCTGGATCACCTCCAGGAAGTCCACCTGGATCTCCACCTGGATCACCTCCAGGAAGTCCACCTGGATCACCTCCAGGATCACCACCAGGATCACCTCCAGGAAGTCCACCTGGACCACCTCCAGGAATACCTGGTCCACCAGGACCACCAGGACCAGTGGGTCCTCCAGGACCAACCGGACCAGATGGTCCACCAGGGCAAGATGGTCCACCAGGACCACCTGGTCCAGGTGGTCCTCCAGGAGTAGATGGACCACCAGGACCACCTGGACCCGATGGGCCACCAGGACCAAATGGGCCACCTGGACCACCTGGACCCGATGGGCCACCAGGACCACCTGGACTTGATGGGCCACCAGGACCACCTGGACCAGATGGGCCACCAGGACCACCAGGACCAGCTGGACCACCTGGACCATCTGGACCACCTGGACCACCAGGACCACCTAGTGCACCAGGACCACCTGGACCACCAGGTCCTCCTGGGCCACCAATAAATTATCCATATTGGCCTCCCTTTAACCCTGGGCAACGACCACCTTGGCCACCACGACCTTGGCCACCTTGTCCACAACCGTCTTGGCCACCTGGTCAACCACCATATTAGCCATATGGCCCACTGCTACCAACAATTGATCCAAATTTTATTTCATATCACACTAAGCAACCCTGGCAAATGTCAGCCACAAGTGCACCACCCATCTGGACACTAAATTGTCAACCTGCACCGTGACTTCTCTCACCTGCACCACTACCAGAATAACCCAATGCCATCACCAAATACTCCAAATAAGCACAACCTCCTGGACTAGCATCCATCCAACCTGGACCATCTGTGACTCAGGATGAAAACAACGATCTGGAACGTGACCTTTTCAAACCTGAACCACCATGTAGGTCCCCACCAAGGTCTGCCGAGCCAACGCCAGGTACTCTGGATGAACACAACCACCTGGACTTGGACTTGGATCAACAACCAATCCAGCCCCTGGGTTTGCTGGACATGTCACCCCAGATCAAAGAGTTATTCTTATTCCAAAACAAAACGTGTCCTCAAGCATTCAGTCCTATTCATCCTGATCATTGTGTGGTCATTAATGTGTAATATCAAGTCAACTCAAGTCAAGTCAACTTTATCGTCAAATATGCCACATGTGCAACATACAGCACGGATGATAATTACATTTTTTAGGAGAGAGAGATTCCCATCTGCATCCCACCTGCATTCAGTTCAAATAATAAAGATGATTTTTCTTCTCAATGACTTGAATTGCTTGAACGTGACCTCGACTCAGACATTCCATCCTTCATTTTGAGAGACACAATCATGCTTGGTGGGTATGGCATCAAATTGCAACCACCTGCCGCCCTGTAAAAGCAACAAAAATCATCAGCCATATGTATATCTTCCACTTACCAAACTCAACTCAACATTATTTATAGAGAAATTTAAAACAGCCATTGCTGCATACAAAGTGCTCTACATGCAAAATTAGTCATACAATAGCAAAGGCAGTGAAAACAATTAATACAAATACAACAGACAGCATAAAATGCTAAGAAAATGGCGAGTCTCATGCCAAGTTGAAAGCCACACAGTAAAAATGTGTTTTCAGATATGTGGAACCAACGATGCCCTCTGAGCTCCTCCGTACCTCTGGTGTGTGTGCCTGTGTGTGTGTGTCTGTGTGTGTGTGTCTGTCTCTCTCTCTCTCTCTCTCTCTCTCTCTCTCTCTCTCTCTCTCTCTCTCTCTATATACATATATATATATATATATATTATACACACACACACACACACACACATTTTCCAATTTGCTATATCCTCACAAGGGGGGTGTCCCCCGCCACCTGCCCGAAGGCAGCTGGGATAGGCTCCAGCACCCCCCGCGACCCCAGTGAGGATCAAGCGGTTCGGAAAATGAATGAATTTTATAAACAATTTATATAAATTGTTTATACAATTGAGAACTGAAGAGGCAGAAAAAAAATATAAGACCTTTAAAAATAAACTAGTAAATATTATAAGAACCAGTAAGAGAGACCATTATCATGCACTATTAGAGCAGAATAAAAGTAATCAATGAGAAATATGTTTTTTTTTTTTTACGTGATTTCCAGGTTCAGTGAACGCTGGCATGTCTGGCTGCCGCTGCTCACCCGGAACACATTTTAACGTTTTTACCGTTTTACTGTCGCCAATCCATTTTTGAACGTCAATCACCATCTGATTGTTTTTAATCGCGCTGTCACAGCGTCCTACCTTTTCGGATCTCAGACGAGGTCCCGTGCCATCTCCACCCCTCTATACCTCATGACGGGGGAAATCGGGGCCTTTGTCTGGGCCATACTAATTTGGACCATCCTGTCGCTCCTCCATCGACCTATGGAAGGACTACTTCGGTACTCAGCGGCAGAACTTCTCGGGCTCCGCTTTCGGTGGTTGCGCTTTCCACCTGCGCTGCACCGCTTCCCGGACATCGTTCTTCGTCCCTCCCGGAAATACACTCACCGTGGGTCTCGTCGGGGCTTCTACCTCGATCGATCCGAGGGCATCACCTCCTTCTGGTCATCCTCCCGCCGGCCACGCAGAAACAACGGCCGATCCGTGGACCACAGCGTGTTAGCCGACCTGGCTAGGTCGGCTAATGCTCCTCGCAACAGCGATATTGCGCTGCACCGCTTCCCGGACATCGTTCTTCATCCCTCCTGGAAATATATCCACCGTGGGTCTCGTCGGGGCTTCCACTTCGATAGATCCAAGGGCATCACCTTCTTCTGGTCATCCTCCCGCCGGCCAGGCAGAAACAACGGCCGATCCGCGGACCACAGCGTGTTAGCCGACCTGGCTAGGTCAGCTAATGCTCCTCGCAACAGCGATATTGCCGGCGTCAACTTCGGACTGCTCAACATCCGCTCGCTCACTGGGAAAGGTTGTCTTATCCAGGATATCCTCAGAAACCGTAAGCTTGACTTTCTTTGTCTGAATGAGACCTGGCAAACTCCTGGCGACTTTTCTCAACTTAATGATTCTACTCCCCCGGGTTTTGTTTACCTATCGAAACCCCGCGGCACGGGTCGCGGAGGTGGACTCGCGATATTGTACCGTGAGAAATGGAAGGTTTTTCCTATCTCTCTCCCTCCTCTCTCCTCATTTGAATGCCTCGCCTGTCAAATTTCCGGACCCACTCCAATGATCATTGCCACAGTATTCCGTGCCCTCAAACCTCATTGTGACTTTTTCAATGAATTTTCTGCTATCCTCACCCATCTCTCCTCTCTATCTCCTAATATAATTATTCTAGGGGATTTCAATGTACACATGGACAATACTGCCCTTCCGCTCACCATGGACTTCACCTCCTCACTTGACAGTCTTGGCTTCCATCAGTTTGCAGAGTTCCCCACACACATTAAAGGACACACCTTAGATCTCATTTGCTGTTCTGGTCTCACCCCCTCCAACTGTGCTGCTGATGAACTCCCTATAACGGACCACTTCCTCATTTTATTTAATGTCACCCTCCGGCTCTCCACCTCCAAATCACCCCGCACCATCTCTTACTCTAATATCAAAGACATCAACATTGACTCTCTCGCTGCAAGGATCGTTACCCTGACTCCGGACATAGACTACTCTCCTAATTCTTTGTTTTCCCAATACAACACGGCCCTCACCAACATTCTCAATACGCTCGCCCCTGTCAAGTCCCGCTCTGTCCTTTTCACTCGGTCTGCCCCCTGGTTCACCCCTCTTCTCCGTTCCATTAAAACCAAAACCCGGCAACTTGAGAGACTCTACCGAAAACTGGTCTCACTGTTCACAAGGACATCGACACAGCTCAACTGTCCCATTACAAAGACTCCATCTCTCAAGCCAAATCACAATACTACTCTGGACTCATCTGTTCCAATACTGGAAATACTAGGACTCTCTTTTCTCTCCTGAACAAAATCACTCAACCCCCTGTCTCCCTACCACCACACTTTTATTCCTCTGACACCTGCAACTCTCTGCTCCAATTTTTTTATTGAAAAAGTAAATAAAATCCACCAACACCTGGGCTCCTCTGTACCCCTCCCCTCCCCTGACATCCCCACTTCCTGTCAACTGCTTTCCTGTTTTGAACTCCCCCATCCTTCAATAATCTCAGATATCATTACCAAATCCAAAACTTCCTCCTGCCTACTTGACCCCCTCCCAACAGTCCTGGTCAAATCCTGCTTACCCTCTCTGCTTCC